TGTGCATGATATGGCTGCTGTCAATGAAGGCAGTTGTATGCAGAGCACTGCTGGGCTGTCGGCTGCAGCTACCAAAGGGCACATTGCAGTATTTTGGTGATATCTGAAGATGCAGACAGATGTTGGGAAGACAAAGTGACTACATTGAGCAAAACACAAGAACGAAGGCAAAGGTAAATATAATTTAAATAACGATAGAAATAAAGAGATTTTAAAAACAGTAAAGCAATTCTTGGTGGGAAGAATTGGGATCTCTGAAAATTGTTAATGTCTTCTTAATTCTTCCCTTCATCTACTTAGTAGCTCCAAATTCTTCTCTTCTCCCCTTCCTCCCTCCCTTCATCTCTCTCTCTCTCAGACACATACATAAACATATACTCTGAAGAATATCTAGATAAATAGTCGCTGCTGTTTCACGACTCTGTAGAGGGCAGTTTTCTGCTTCAATTTCCATCTCGTTTTCTTGTAACATAGCCTACAATGTTTACATGCAAGAACCTCTCAGAATATTTGCTCTTCTTTCTAGACTCTTTAGAGGAAAGTACCATTGTGAATCATTAAAAGTTCATATTGTGGGTAACAAATCATGCAAATGCCAGAAGACAAAAGCACTAGTCTTGCTCCAAGAAAATGTATAAGGTTGAACATTTAAAAAAGACTTCTATAGACGAAACTTTTGCTTCTGCCTTGGACTTTATAATCTACTGATAATGAAATATCATTTGTCCCATGTTGTGTCTGTGCACAGGACTCCAAATTAGAAGTTTTTTTCCATGTCACCTTGGTACATGGAGACCTAGATATATCTCCTCCAGAAATATCTTTTTCTTAGTTTCAGACAGATTCTACCATGTACCCAGGATTCTTTTTCTTTCATTCTGAAGAATGGATATTGGATCAATATAATTTTAGGTAGGTAGAAAAAGAGGGAATTAAAAAATTATCTCTTATCAGAAGCTAAGAAGGGTGATACAGTTTATTATCCTCATTATGTAAGAAAGAATATCTTGTTATTACTTTCCTGTTTTAAAGTAACAGATTAAGGAAAAATCTGACACATATATATGAAACAATGAATTTCTCATTTGAATGATACATTACTCATTCTAATTTCATTTGCTTTTTAGGGAGGATGAGTTATATCATTTTATTTTCTGGAGGTAGTAACTAACTTACAATTTAAAAAAATAAAAAAAAATTGCAATATTGCATCCTTGTATTATGATACTTCACTAGAGTACATATTCCCCAGAGTGGAGTTCACATCATTAAACATCAGTATGCTCCACAATGTCATGTACATGGTAAAAAGTTAGCAAATGTTTGCTGAATGAATAAATGAATGAGGCACTGAATAAAAAGGGCAGGTTTAAATCAGATACTAAAAAATGCGCATTGATAGGAGGTTTACAAAGGGTAAATAACTGGCTAATAGAAAAGCACATTCCCAGAACAGAAACATCCAATTTACATTAAGAAACTGGTGTTTCATATTTAATATGGTAGTTATAAATCACATGACTGTGGAAAAACTATAATATTTACTACCATATTTGTTTTATTTCTATTAGTTGTTATTTACACATACTCTGTCTTGCTCCACAATGAATTTTACTACAGAAAATGATAAATACAGGAATGATAAGACTTAAGCATAGAAATGCATGCCTTAGGTGCTGCCTGGTTGAATTCTTATGTGGATTCATATTTTAGCAGATCATGCCAGTAGCATCACTGAATGAAATGAGCTATTTATCACTGGAGTATAGTTCATTTACACACCATTCCCCACCTCTACAGTCACTTTTATAACAAATTATTCACAAAATGTGCTATTATTCTTATATGATGCAGTATAAGAAAAGACGAAAAAAACACAAAGTGTTTATGTTACCCAGATTATAATGTAATCAAGACCTCTGAATTCTGCCTTCTCACAAATGAAAGACCCCTACTTAATCCTCTACTACACTGACCAAGCCAGTATTGGAAGTGACATGTGGCAGTAGGAACTCTTACCCACTAATGTTAGGAATGTAAACTGGCACAAGTACTTTAAGATCAATTCAGTGCTATCTGGTAAAAGTGAAGCTCTTCCTACCCCGTAAACCAGAAATTTTATCTCTGAATATATGCCTTCAACAGACTGCTACAAATGTGCATAAGAATAATTGTTTTACATAATGAAAACAATTTAAATGTCCATTAAAAAGGCAATGGCCAAAAATTATGTTCATTATATTTATAAAATGAAATAACATGCAGTGGTTTAAAATAAGTGTAATTTTATGTATTAATGTGAATTTTTTTAAAATATAATCTTAAGTGAATAAAATTTGTTTTAGAATCATACCTAAAATAATATTTATATAACTCAAAAAACAAATAATTATCTCTCATTCCATATATTTGCATATATATGTATGTATATGTTTGTAGATGTATATATGTATAGAATTTTTAAGATATATACATTTTGTAGTAGTCAGAGGCATAGTAACCATAAGTCCAGTAAAGTATTTCTAAAGACAGTTCATCCCTGTCCTTGGTTTTGCCCCAGACCTATAAGATTGTATCTTACTCCATTTTCCATTCAAGAGAATATTAGTCTTTGTTTTGATTTATAACAGGCAACATTTCTTTTCTGTCACTATATAGATTTAATTGACATTTCTCTCACCTTGTGCTGAGAGAAAGCATTCTGATGCATCTTTCAGACATTAAAATGTAAGTCAAATACTAACCACTAAATAAAGAGTAAAGTTATTAACATCACTGGAATATTGAATGGACAGCTCTTTAGAAACAGCTGTGATATGTCCTGAAAATAGTCTATGGGCAGAAGGTAATTGTGCAAGAATTATGGTGAGTTTGTTTCCATTTCCTTTTGGCTGGAACTGAAGAGAAGGGGGGATATCAGAGGCTTCTCTTGTTTCAGGAGGGACAGGACCAGAAAGGCAGATAATCCTGAGTAAATGAGCAAGCCCATACAGCAGAGCAACAGACCAGTGGCTCAGGAGACAGCGATGACCAATAGGGAGTTTCCTGGCAAGAGGCAAAGCCCATTGACCCTATGGTTTCTGATATTCATGTTCAAGTTTCCTCTTTCTTACAGCAATGTCCTCGATGTGATCTCAAGCCTTGAGTGCTGTCTGTTAGACATGGCACCTTGGGTTGCAATCAAGTGAGGGGGCCAGAAAAACCACAGGCTGGTGGCTAAGTGAAACTGATGCTTCTTGAATAGGTCAAGGGCTTCATGGAACAGAGCCAAAAGGATAGTGTGACCATCTTGAGTAAAAAATAGTTGCCCTGGTTCTTCTGGGAAGGCAACAGGTGTTTGGAGAAGAGCACTGAGTACGATGAAGGTGAAGTTGAATGGCAGCAGCAATAGCAACAGGAGAGAGGCCAGTTTGTGGAGCAGCATTTCTCAGCTGCGTGAACACACAGTGTCAGAACACTTGAAACATGTGAGAGTCCTATTAAACAGAGTTTGTGAGCCTCTCCTTGAGAAAAGTTGAGAAAAAGAAAGGAATGAAGGAAGGGAGATCTCAGGTTGGCAAACACTGAGCCTTTAAAAAGAAAAAAATACAATATTGGTATTGTCTTTGGCAAGACAGGGAGAGTGCATAGGGGAAGAAAGAGGCTTTGACTGTACCTCAGCAGTAGCATTACCAGGTTCGATGATCTGAAAAGCCTCCACTGCAGATTAAATATTTAAAGATCCCATCAGTCAATCATATGCCTATGTCATCATATGCCCATGTCATATATGGTTGTCCTTGGAGAATTCACAAATATGTTTAATTCACTTAGATTTTTATCTTTATTCCAAAATTTGTGCTGTGTAGAGCAGTCAAAGTTAACTGGTGAATTATGACCACATTTCAAAGCATCTTATTTGATAGTGTTAATAACTTAATTTTTTGCATTCACGTTTTTCCAAATGCTCATGACAAACATTAAAAAAACTTAGGAAACATACAGTTTAATTTAAAAATACTAACCATATTTACACATCTTTTCTGCCAAACGACAACTTAAATAATGGTAGCTTTTTTCAACTCCAAACACTAAGAAAACAACAACAACAAAACTACTCCTCTTTGTCAAATAAGGAAAATTCAAACTTTTGGCAGTCTGCAAACTGTGAGATTGACTTTATAATTTTTCATCACCAGGTATACCTTCTGAAGTCTCACAAAACCCATTTTAAGTCTCTGAAGTCTCTTAACTATTTTTAGAAATAGACACTATTGCTGATAACGCAATATATCCTGCATGTTCAACCTTTGTGAATCATACCATCTAGGGCAATTGACTTGGTGAGCAAAATCTGCATGGTCACCTGGGCAGCTGCATTTAGAAATACGAGCTGTCTAGTCAAGGTTACAGCATTTGTTTTCTTTCCTTAGAATTCAATGCAGTTAATATCATCTAAATTTTGATTCGCTTTGCCAGGCTATTGAAGGTTTGTATATTCCAATGCCTCTGATTAATCAAATTCAATTAAAAAATGAAAATAAAGATGTATTTTTATAATCATAGGGAATATATCCTCTTCTTGTTTGTTTTGAGTTGAAGGGATGGAGATAAAGCCAAAAGAAAAATAAAAATAATAATGTTCAAACATTTTCAACATGTAAATAATTGTATTTAGAAATGTCAAAAATTTACACAATAGGAGGTTTTATCACAGAATCTGGAATGGAGACTTCTAGAAATTAAGAAATACAGGATATTTCTGATATAAGACTGAATGAAAGCATGTATATTCTAAGAAATACAAAAACAACTTGGTAAAAAAAAAAAAAGACACTTAAAATGAGTGTTGTATGTTTTCCTTTCTGATTTTTATTATTTTTAAATTGTTCCTTCAGCCACCAAAGTTATATGATGGTTTCTGAACAGTGTTTACTTTTGTGACAGTTTCATCTCACTCTGTTGTCCAAACTGATAAAATCCGGAAGTCTAGAAACAGCAAGGGACTCCCTTCCTCTGTTATATGTAAGCTGACAAGAGGTAGACAAACACCTTCTGAAGTTTTATGCATGCTGCGTTTTCTCTCCTTGCTGCAACAAGAAAAGCCTTTGTTTTCCAACCTGGCAGCCTTTGAAGAAGTGACTCAGACATCTTCATGGCCTCTAAAGGTAAGAATAAATATAACCAACTAATAATTTTTTTCTTATATTATGACTAAAAATGAACAATTGTGGATGTGTTACAACCAGTTAGATTGGTATCTTAAAAGCTGTCATTTGTCACTTTTGAACATTGTGATTTTAAAATTCTAACTCCCAGGAGCATGTTGAGTTAAATTTAAAAACACTCTATGTGACAGACTGTAAAAGTTCAGATGTAAATGATGTTTTAGTTATCATGAACACAAACATAGTGAATTAATAAGAAAAGCTGCATAGCAAAGTTTAGAATGGGAAATGTTAAACATTTATGTTTAACTTAATGTTAAACACAAGGACAGGGTGGTATTTTAAGTTTAAAAGGATTTGAAGAAAACTTTTCACATATAAGTCAGAAAGTGTTAAAGTGCAATTTAATAATTTTTTAAAAATTAAAATTTTAAAAATGTATGTGTGTACATAGTAGGTATGTATACCTATGGGATACATGAGATGTTTTGATACAAGCAGGCAATGTGAAATAGGACATAAAGGGGAATGGGATATCCATCCCATAAATCCATCCCATTTATCCTTTCAGTTACAAACAATCCAGTTACACTCTCTAAGTTTTAATTTCCCATTTGTTATTCAAATTATGTAGTAAAACCATTTATTATAAAGAATCTGACAGGTGTTATTATTGATTCTCAAATTTGATTGGCTAGAAATAAGTATTTCTGAATTATAACGCAAAAATATCTTGAAATTTCCTTATGGTAAATTAAAGATAGAAAACAAACAGAAAATATCTACTTTAAGCACGCAGATCACTTAGCAGACTTTTGGGAGTAGGACTGATGAGTTTTTTCTCAAATTCCTAAAACTGCAAAAATATCATAACTGTTATCTTACTTTAAAGAAATTCTCAAAAGACAAGAGATATAGTTGTTTTTAAAGTAAGCTGCAATCTCACTAAAAACACTTGTGAAACTGTATAAAAAAATAAAATTATAATGTGCTCTCCTTTCATTGTCAGAATGAACCATTAAAGCCTAGGCTCTAATTAAAAGTTTTAGCATGAAGAATGATGATTAGTATAATTGGTGAAAACCTTTAAAATTAATTACAAATAGGATAATAGGGCCCATCAATTTGTGGTATCCTCAATTAGTGATCCATTCAAACAAATCTGTATACTTACTTTCTTCCTTTATCAAAACATACTTTTGGACACTGTTTAATATGAAACAAATGAGATAATCTTTCCATTTTTATCAATCTTTAATATAGACCAGTCCCTTGGTCCCTCAGAATCACTGGGAAAGCTCACACAAATTGTAAAATATAGATGTGAAATAGCAAAATCATGAATTTGATATATGTGTCATCATTTTTTCTGTCTGAAGACAAACAAAAAACCTTGACAAAATTTCCTTTCATTTAAGACTGACACTAACATTTAGTCCAAAATACTTTGTCACTTTATAAAATAAGAGTTACAGCAATACTGTAGCCTGCAAGGTAAAGAGTTGCAGAGTGTATAAAATATTTATAAACTAGTTATACATTTTTAAAAGAGTAGATAGAAATTCAAAGCCGGTAAGAAATTCAAAGGAGTTCCTTCTTCATCTGGTGGTCTGAGTCTTTGAAGAAACTTGTGACTGGAAAGTAATATTATGTCAAAATATGATTAATCTACCAGGAAGCAGTGATGTTCCATAATGATAAAGACCCAAATCTAAACTTAGAAGCAAAACTTCAGGTGGAAAACTGACCCTCCTTCTGCAACCGGCTCAAAATATTTAATACATGGAGTGGATAAAACACCTATTAGAGACTTCATACTACCTAGGAGAATATAAGTGACAACGAAGCTTTCTTGTGAATTAGATACCTTGTTTAAGAGGACAGGTCAAATTATCACCATTATCTAAGTAAAACACTTTTGCGGATAGTTTTCTTCAACTGTATATAAAGACATCATTTATAACATAATGTTTTCTTGCCCAGTAACTATATTGGCAATTCCCATTTTCCCAGGGAACGCAGACTAAGTGTACATTTCACACATTTCATAGGCAGATCAATCAGCACTACTAAACCAAAAGACAGTCTAAATGCTGGGTGCCCTTAGAACTGAAGAGACATTTGTGTGATCTGGAACCCCCTGACTCCGTAGAAATTAACACAATTTAAGAGCAAGTTGCTCTCAAACAGGGTGATCTGAACTGAGCAAGAGCTGTCTCCAAAGGTTGCTTCAATGTGAACTAAAATCCCAGAAGCAGCAGCAGGTGAGCGCAGAATACTGATGTCTCTCAACAGTCTCAGGCAGAGACTCACCCATACTCTACTCCTAAATAAAGACTTTGGACGTAATATCCTCTGAGCCTCAAGTGCATTAATGCCTCTGGACCTGCTGTGAAGTCTAAGGCCCTCCAGGCCTGGGTGGGAATATACAGTGACTTGCCGAATCCTCCATAACCTACTGCATTTTGTTACAGCAAACATAATTTACAGGATAAAATTGGGGTAATCTGTGAGTCCCTTTAACAATTAAGTTTACAGTGAGAGAGAAAATAATAATCTTATACCAGCTATTGTTAGAAATTGATCCCTACACATGGTTTTTAATTGAGAGATAATATGTGCAGTGAAGGACATAAAGAGCACAAAATCTAGGCTCCATGATTTTTAAAATAAGGACACACTCATGACCACCACCAAGATCAAGATATAGACATTTCTAGAATCTATTAAGTTCTCTTTCTAGCCAATAGTCATGCATCCTCCCTTTTCCAAGATGGACCACTATTCTGGATTTTATCATTGTGAACTAGTTTTCCCTAGATCATAATTTTGCCTCTATGTTTTTCTGAAAGTGATAATGGTACATCTTACACTAATGCTAAAGAAAAAATGTTTATTGTTTATTATCTTTTAATATTTTTGAGTCATTATTGCTATATTAATGGCCATTAGCTCTTCTCCCAAATCTGACATAGTGTTACATAGTCTTTCTCTGGGTTTACTTCTTAGGATCCCATTGAGGAGATGTTCTCAAGAGCAAGGGGAGGTCTAAAACCTATATCCTTTGTATCTGCCCCAGATGTATGAGAAGTTCAACATGGGGGTCCTTGTGGAAACCAAACTGCTATAGTATTATCAGTATTAGGCTGTATTTTAGTGGGGCCATTTGACAAGTTATTCCATTCGATCCTAACCATAAAGCATGCCTACATTCTACATATCACACACCAGTACAAACCGAATGGCCCTACACTATTAATAATAAATTCAGTTGATTCTAATAACCTTAAGGTTAAATAAATAAATGAATGAATTTACTTCATGAATAAATAAATGAATGAATGAATGAATTCAGAATATGCTTGAGTTTTCTTAGTGATGAGAAATTTACTACCACCAAAGGAAACCCAAATTCATTTTTAGAATTTATTTTTCACAGATTTAAAAGATAAAGATATTTCTTCCCCACCCCACCGCCACACACACATACAAACCTTCATGAATCTGAGAGTCATTGCTGAAGTGCGAACCTTGTAATTTGCTGCTAATTATATAGATTCCACTTCAATTTTGGTATGTGAGTAATGAGAATATTTATTCAAATCTTTGTGTAGCTGTTATAAATTTCCTACTTGTTGTCAGTGCAGAAGCAATGTCCTTGCCCTTCTCTTTTATATGTCTTTAGGACAATCTCAGTTGCTTGTCTTCGTAATGGCCCTTCTTATATTTGAAAATACCTGTCACAAACCTTGCTTCACATCTATACCCAATCTAAAACAGCATAATGTGGATAAACTAACTGAATGCACTTGTGAAAGCTCTAACACTTTATTGATTACTAAACATGAGAAGTAAATATACTGATATTCTTTGAAAAAAATGATATCTAATGAGAGAGATATCCAAATGGTAGTTATATGAAAAGAAAAAAATCATAGAAAAGCTATCATTTATATTTTTAAACAAAAAGGCCTTTGCATATACCACCTTATTAGGGGTTATACATAAAATTACACAGAGCAATGCGAAGTAAATAATAAACCCCCAAATTTCAAAGTAAAAGAGAATTAAATTGTAACATATTTACCTGGCAATAATTTAGAAAACAGGTATCTTCTCTAAAAATTTTAGTCAAACTTTATATAATTATTTGGTTTTGATATCTTTTATATTTTGTAATATTGGGTGAGCTACAAAAGGATGCATAGCTTCAAACTATTGTTGGTTATATATAGACTTATATAAATATAAATATATAAAAATAAGTATATATATAATTATATAGACATATATTACTGCATATATATTCAAGTAACATCAATTTATATGTATATACTTATATATGTTTATATAATATATAATTTATATATGTATAAAGTAACCAATAATTACTCTCCACATTTTGTTTTGTATATTTATATAATATATAATTTACATATGTATATAAATATATATAAATATATATGCAGTAAGTGTGTATATATATGCAAGTAATTATATATACACACACACATATACACATACGCATATTTTTTCTAAAGTCATCTATTTTGGCTAAATTCAACTTTTTCTCACAACTACTACCGGAATTCTTCTGCACTTCTTTTTTTCTAACTTAGGGGACAAGTGGTAATGGCAGTGAGTAGTGAAAATAAGGAAAAGGGCATTAAAATGAGAGACAGGAGATAAACTATCCTATCAATCAAGAAGTAACAAATATTTTAAGAAGGACTAAATAAAATGGCCTAAATTTAAATATGGATTGGGATTTCCATTCTCTTGCAGATGCCCAGAACCAAAGAAGAGGTCTGCCTAGTTTTCTTCCTGGAGCTCCAGACCCAGACCAAAACCTTCCTGCCTTATCTTCCAATCCAGGGAACCAAGCATGGCAGCTGAGTCGCCCTTTGCCAAGAAGTTTCCTGCCAACAGTCAGTCTCCCTCCTGGTCTAGAATATTTAAGCCAGGTGTTTTTTATCTTTCTATTCCTACAGATATGTTCCACCCTTAAAATTAATACAAACTTTCTTTCTGACTTTTCAATCAAGGTTGAAAGACTTTAACCAATAATTTACTGAAGTGAAAAAAGCATTATAAATCATAAAATTGTAAAATATTAATTTTATTTATTTATACTATTTTTAAAAGTGTGTCTTATTACTACTTTTATCTTCCTTATTTATTTGACAGAATGATGAGGCTAAATATTTTTGATGGAGCTGTTTAGCATGTTTATCCACTTGTTCATTGATCAAGGTGTCAGCAAACTTTTCCTCAAGAAATTGTCTAATATGCCAGGCATGGTGGTTGGTGCCTGTAATCCCAGCATTTTGGGAGCCCAAGGCAGGTGGATAAGCCAGGAGTTCCAGACCAGGCTGGGCAACATGATAAAACCCCATCTCTACAAAAATTAGCAGGGCACGGTGACATTTGCATGTGGTCCCAGCTACTCAGGATGCTGAGGTGGGAGGATCACCTGAGCCCAGGAAGGTCAAGGCTACAGTGAGCTGTGATCACACCAGATTGGGTGATAGAGTGAGACTCTGACTTCGAAAAAAAACAAAAAACAAAAAAATTAAAAAAAAAAAGAAAAGAAATTTTCTAATGTATCTAGTCACTTACAGCTATTTAATTAAAGAATATTTGTCGAGTGCTTGCTATACTCGAGACATATAAAAAGCATGAAACCTAGCCCCTGTCACCCAAAAGTTCTGCAACCTAAATGGCAAGACAAAAAAAAAAGTTAATGCAAAGTGCATGCCTATATACAAATGATTGATAAGCACACTATTGTAATTTGTTCAGGTGTATAGAGGAGAGAGAGGTTCTTAAGGATCAAAGTACTTGAAAGAGACTTCAGCAATGAGCTGAGAGCTCAATGTCATCAACTGAATCTTCAAAGGAGGACACAAATCCAAGAGAAAGCAGTTATAAAGTGAACATTGTCTGCTGATACCACTGCATCTCCAGGCCAATTCGCTTAAAAGAGCATATTGCTATTGGATATAGTCACTGTTCCAGTCATTGTAGAGTAGGCAGCATTCAAACCTTACAATAAATCAATCAAAATATCACTATCTGAATTTTATGTCATATAAATTCTATATTCGTGTATGTATATTATTGTTGCTTTTGTATTTTATCCTAAAAAAGATTAGAAGTACAATTACACTAATATTGAGATGTCAGCACATCTGCTGCAATTTTCAGCTTGTTTGGCATTCTTTCAAACTATAAAGTCTATCTCCTTTATCAAAATCAAATCTCTGTGTTAATTCCCTTAAGGTACAAGAGATTTCTGTTATGCCTGATAGGGTTTAAGCTGCATGCAGCATATGTTCCTGGTAAAATGTTTATAATTGCAGATGCCTTCTCCAGAAACCCACTGGCAGACAAATGTACTTTAGAGACTGGAGAGCTCAGGGAGATATGTAAAAGAGCTGGAAACGTGAACCTACCATCTTCCATCTGCAGAAAGGATCAGCTGTAATAGCTGACTAGAGTTGATTAACTGCTGCAAGCTGTTTGGGAATGTTGTCAGACAAGGTTTTGCCAAGTATAAAAGTGATATACCAGTGCCAGAGGGCTGAGGTTTGATGATCACATATGGTCATCACATATTCTTCTTCCATTCATGAATGATGACACACCCGGAGCCAGATGCTTGACATGAATACATTTTTGTTACGTTCAATAAGTAGAGATATGAACCCGTTGGCTTTGGTTCTAAAATGGAATAAATTTTCCAAAAATATACCTTTGTTAATCGTTCCAAGAAAAAAAAATATACCACCAATTGTTGAATATTCTACTTCTAAAGAGAAAGATAATTTCCTCACTTTATACTAAAAGAACATTTATTTTATTTACTTTAAAGCAGTGCACATATAAAACCATGAATGAGCATTTCAAAAGTGTTATGCCATGAGTCTGGAAGAGGCACAATACAAAATGAATTTTTAGATGCTACGTTTTCTCTAAAAGTCACAAAAATCGAATAAAATAATGAGCATTCGGAAATAGTACATTAATCAATGAATAAACAGGAAATATACAATAAATATCTTTCTAAATTAAAAAATTTAAATAAAATATTTTAACATTATTCTCTTTTAATCAAGTCCATCCAATTACTATTGAGAATCTTGTTTCCATAAACAATTTGAAAATATATGTATATGAGTGTTTAGCTATATAATGTATATAAAATCGAAGAATAAAATTGATAGATTCATTACAGATTAGATTTACATGTTCATACAGTCAATAACATTTTATTGTATAGTGTCAAAGTGTCAAAGAATAATTATTATAATTTAGTCACCTGTATGTAAGAGTGATGAGGTGAAGTCTACAAAACATATAAATATCCAATTTATTTTGAAATACGTATATCAAATGGAATAATTGATAGCTGTCAATGTGATTTTTTAAGAAAATTAATTCTTAAGCCATACATCTAACCCTCTCATTGTATTTTCATTTCTACAGCTTTCATACTTAAGGAGTTAAGTTTTACTTGCCATGACACCTAAATGTATAATTCAATCTGTTTAAAGTTTTCAAAATTCCTAGTCTATCAATCAATAGAAAAAGAATGAAAAATGCCCCTTTGGGCCATGGTTTATAAGTGGCTATGTGCTATTTAAAGAAAACTACAAGAATGACCAAAAACAACTCCCTCAAATCCAGGAGATTTTTTCAAAGAGAGAGCAAATCAAATGTTATTACAGAGGGTGGGGAGGGTATAAAAGTAAGAAAATATGAAAGGTATTCAAGTTTCATATTGTCACTTGAGATTTATTTCCCTTAAATTTAGCGTAGTGATGTCAGTAAAGAAACAGAGTAGAATGCATGGCAGAATTGATGGCCATTTACAAGTTCTGTGATCATGGGCAAATTACTTATCTCTGTGGGCTTGTTTCCTCACATTTAAAATTAATGATATTTATCTCTCCAAGTTTTTGTGAGGATTAAATCAGACACTGTCTAAACATCTAGCACAGTGACTACCTTATGGTAGTTATTCAATTTAAAAAGCTGCTGTTGTTGGATATTAGAGAGGTACTACTTCTTTTTCATTGTCAGGTGGATTTCAATTAATAGTTTCTAAATTTCAACACTAAAACTTGATTCACGACATCAGTATTCAGAGTACCTAAACTCCCACTTTATTTTTGACCACACATATCTCCATTTCTAAGTTACTTGTGCATAGATCAACTGCTAAATAATAATGTACATCCTTGTTGAGGCTTACCACTCCATTTTCCTCAGAAGATAACAGAACTAATGCAGTACATTACTAAAGACTTGGTCAAATATTTTTTTTCTAATAAAAAGCTTTGTCATTATTGTTAATTTAGGTTTTAGAATATCTTTGATCATAAATTATTTTTGGAAAAATTTTTTTTTGTGAATCTTAAAAAAGAGGCCATACATATTATTTTATCAATAAGAAGATTTAAACAGAGAAAATGATATTAGTTTTATCTCCACCTTAGGACATACAAGGAGAATGAGGGAAATCACGTAGTTTCAAATGTTCTGAGATTGTAATGTCCAATCAATACCAAATTTTAGTAATGACTGGTTAGTTTAAAAGTTACTGGTGAGTTTACTAATGCGAAGGGAGAATATGGGGAAGAAAATTTTAAGGTGAAATGAAAAATGAAGCATTAGGAAATACAGTGATCAGCAACATATTCAGTGTTCATGCTTTTGCATTACTGGATCTTCAAGTACTGAATATCAGATTGAAAATAAACACAAATAGGCCAGACACAGTGACTCATACCTGTAATGCCAGCACTTTGAGAGGCTGAGGTGGGTGGATCACTTGAGGTCAGGAGTTTGAGACCAGTCTGGCCAACACGGCAAAACCCTGTGTCTCTACTAAAAGTATGAAAATTACCCAAGCATGGTGGTGAGCACCTGTAATCCCAACTGCTCAGGTGGCTGAGGCACAAGAATTGCTTGAACCCAGGAGGCGGAGGTTGCAGTGAGCCAAGATCGTGCCACTGCACTCCAGCCTGGGCCACAAAGCTGAACTCTGTTCAAAAAATAAAAATAAAAATAAAATAAGCACAAATAAATTTCTTTATAAGAACAGAACTTTCATATTTCCTTTAAAAAACAATTTGCATTGCAGACTTTTTATTTTAATAGTCATTTCTCAATTATCTGTGGATACTTTATCTCTGTAAATTAACTTTATTTTTAATTACATAAGTCAAATTTTGTAATGTATTTAGTGCCATAACATTTATTTGACTTAGATTGGTATTTTGTTGGCATCTGCAGGAACTCATTTTTATTTTTAGTTCATAGGAAAGTGTGAATGAGAGAAAAATATATACAATAACCTTTCAGGTTTAACAAGTATATTCCATCACTGAAAGAAATGAGTTGCAGTTTGACCGAGTGATAGTAGAGGTAGGCAGAGGTTAAGAGGAGAGGCCAGGCATTCAAATCATTATTGTGTTGTTTCCTATATTTAAAAAAAAAATTGAATTGTAAAACATCTTAAACATTATAATTCAGAGATTGTTTAAAAATCTTCACAAACTCTTGTTTTCAAGATCATCTCTAATTTTCTCATTATCGCAGAGTTAGCATGTAGTTCTGTCTTCGCCTCCTTTTTTTTTTTTTTTTTTTTTTTAATTGAGACAGAGTTTCCCTCTGGGGACCAGGCTGGAGTGTACTGGGCTCATGGTTCCCCGCAACCGCAACCGCAACCTCCCCCCAGGATCAAACGATCTTCCCATCTCCGCCTCTCTCCAGTGTAGCTGAGACTAGAGGCACATACCACCACAGTCAGCTAATTTTTGTATTTTTTGTAAAGACAGGGGTTTGCCATTTTGCCCAGGATGGTCTCGAACTCCTGGGCTCAAGCAATCTGCCTACCTTGACCTCCAGAAGTACTGCATTTACCTCTGGAGTAAATATAGGAACTGCACCCAGCTCCGTTCCTATTCTTATTCTTGCTCAATACTGCCTTGTAATTTTCAGGGTTCTTCTAAATTTTTACTTAAATGATAATAATAAAAAAAAGTTACATTCTTTTGCATTATAAAATGTGAGATATTTTCAACCGTTTTCCTAATAGAAAGCATGAAAATCACCTAATTTTATGCAACGTAGTAAATAGGGTAATAGTAGTATCTCCAAAGGTTTTCGATGTGATGTAATACTTTTTATTTCCTTTATGTCATCCTTTACAGTTAGACCTGATAATTATACACCAGCAGGTGGAGCTGCTTGGAAGTAAGTGCATTATATATATCATGCATTTATTAAAACTATTGAAAATATTTTAGTTTTCACAAGTTTCTTTACATCTAAAGATGTTATAAACGAGAAAGTTAAATGTGTAAAACAGAATTAGATAAAAAAGAGTACTAGGTCTTTTTTTAATTAAAAGCTAAAAGTAAAATTATTAGTCTTATTTAGATAAAACAGAAGCATAAAACTCTGAATCTTTGGTGATATTGCCATTCAAATTCTGACATTACATCTACTTTAAAATAGTAAAACGTATTTGATTATTTCCATGGATGTTAATCATTTAAATTTCTTAATAATTTCAAAAATGGAAACCGCGGTTTTAACTAAATAACAAACAAAAAGTTATCAAAACAAAATGTTACTGTTTTATCATTTTATCAGTGATTTACCAAATAGGAAAATTATATAAGAATCTACAAATTTACAAGCATGACTAACTGGATTCAAATTACTTGAGTATTTTCTGGTTTTAGTGCTCTATATTATTCCTAAATATATGTGAAAATTGAAATAGCCGGATAGCATACAACTTTAGATATATTACCAGCAAATATTTTAGACAAAATCACTATTATCACCATATGGTGCCAACAGTTCTATAACAATAATATAATTATTTTTTGAGTTATAAATTACTCTTTAAAACATTTGTCCTTTAGTGAAAAGGTACACTATATGTTCTCAAGTAGGTCATATATCTGGAATATATATTAATTAATTATATAACTTTATTCTCACCATTTACTTTTATTTCCATGGCTACATCCTACAGATTTAGAGCACAGAAATAAATTTGTGTGAAGAAGATACCATATACTTAATAAGTGATCAGACACTGTATTCTTTTAGTGACATCTCCCCTTTATTTAGTTATCAATACTAAGGAAAAAAAATGTTTTTATAAAAAATGGTTTTTTTTTGCTCCATCAGTGATACTTGGTACTGAGACCTCCAACAAATATGAGATTAAAAACAGCTTGGGACAAAGAATTTACTTTGCAGTGGAGGAAAGCATCTGCTTCAATCGTACTTTCTGTTCCACTCTGCGATCTTGCACCCTGAGGATCACAGATAACTCAGGTCGAGAGGTCATTACAGTGAATAGGCCCTTGAGATGTAACAGCTGCTGGTGTCCTTGCTACCTCCAAGAGGTTAGTTACTGGCTATGGTTGCCTTTTTTGATTTTTAAAATTAACATTTGTTTCTTCAAAAGGAATTCATTTGGAGCAATGAGGCAATTAACCTGTCAGTTGTTTCAATTATTAATAGTATGTTGTTCCTTTAGGATCAGATCAGCTTGAGGATTTGGTGATTCACTAAAACTTTTTTCCTTTCCAACCAAAAACTATGGTGGCTTTCGTGATGTAAACTGTTGAGGACAGCTCATGCATCATGTAAATGAGATAGACCTCTGGAATCTCTATAGTAGTCATGTAATTGTAATGTCTACAGATTCCACCATTGGGCATATATACCCTTTGTCTTCTCCAACTGGAGCAAAGTCCAGAAAGTGCTAAGTGATACTAAACTCCTCTAAGGTGTCCTCTTGGATAGCTATTATTATTTATTATGGAATCTCACAATGCATTTACCCGTTTATGACAAAATCCAAGGTTTGGCAAGACAATGTTATTGTTCTACAGGAAATAATTCAATTATTTTATTTTAATATATAATAGATTGACATTATTATTTAGTAGACCTATAATAATAACTTTCATTGACATACGTAGTTCAATTGACACAGAACTTTTACTTACTTTGTTGGCTTTGATACCAGGATATTCTACTCATGAGCAAGAATAGAGCCATGAAATCTCTAGGAGCTAGAAATAATTACTCTCTACATTTTGCAGTCAAGGACGGAGAGTGGAGGCTGCTAACCTATGACTATACATTCAAAAAATCAGGAAATATCATAGATGGGACTTGATCCAGGTGTCCTAACTTAGGCCCAACCTTCTCTGTTAGAACCTGTGGATAAGTACTGGCCTTAGGATGATGGGAAAATATTAATACAAAAGATGGTTATTTAGGGAAGTGTCTAATAACATATATCAAAGCTAATTCTCCAACTATCTTTAGGCAAGCATCTGACTAAGCGATAAGATGACTGAAGTGCTCATGCATGGAGCCCAAGAATTTCCATCCGTCTACTGAGGATATTTAATATTAATATGCCCCAAGAGAGTGTAGTCATTATGATCACAGAATTATGCTCATTTAAAAATTTTTGATAATTAATGTTTTCTTTAATGGTAGTCCAGGGTCATAAATAAAACATAATATATATCTTGATACCTATTAGTAACTTTTGAAAAAATTTGGTCAATAGCAAATTAATAACTTTAAAAGTGACCCCAGAACAAATCTATATTAATTCTAAGCAGTCTAGTTGAAATCACTTTTATCTATCCAAGAATGTTACAGACATATGCATAAGACTATGAACTTAATAAGAAAAGTCAAAATGAGATCAGATGATGGAGAGATGGCTTGGTTTAAATGCAAACATTTTACAAATTTGTACCCACCCCCAATTTATTTTACAAAATATTTGATTTGATTACATAAATATGTAACGGTAATGGAGTCAAATACTAAAGTAATGCCTGATAATGCAAAAATCCAACTACTAGTCTCCAACACTGTGGAAGCCACGAACTAGCAATCAAACTGGTGTTTAATGACTACAACTCTGCAAGAAGCATTTGTTTTCAATTAATTGCAGATAATCTGGGAGTTTATAATCTGACTGAAAAAAGTATGAATACTCAATAATTGATAAAAGAGATGAGTGTTGTGGCTACAATTAGAAGGAGTAGATGTGAGTTACCGCATAGGAACAGCTTCAGTGGTTGAACAACTGTTGTACTTGGGATAAAATGACAAAGAAGCCACTGTCCCAGGGTCAGAAGATAGTCGTTGGGTAGATTCTCTTTAGTGAAATAAGACAAAGACTTTTAGTGCACTGTGCTAAACTTATGTTTATACAGTGAATTTCTTTGTTCTCTGTAAAATATTTTATAAAATCTGTATCCTTAAAAGCAGATATTTAGAATGATTTATAGGATATCAAAATAATTTTATAACAGTATATTGTTTACAGGTAAATTGACATTATAGTAAAATTAAAATATGATAACCTAAGAAAATCTTATTTTGTCATTATCTCTTCTTGCAGTTAGAAATCCAAGCCCCTCCTGGTACTATAGTTGGTTACGTTGCACAGAAGTGGGACCCCTTTCTGCCTAAATTCACAATCCAAAATGCAAACAAAGAAGACATTTTGAAAATTGTTGGTCCTTGTGCGACATGTGGCTGTTTTGGCGATGTGAATTTTGAGGTACAATTGACAAAATGAAAGAAGTTTTCATTTAGGTCCTGATTTTTTTTTTTTTTTTGCAATATAATTCAATTTTTTATATGTTCAAATTAATTTCATCTCAGATAAGTTCAGAAAAATAACATATTTGTAATATAATGTAATCAGCCCATATTGTACATGCTAAGAATAGGAATATGTAAATCCAGAGATATAAAGTCCAAGGATTTTAAAAAAATAATACTACAAAATTTATCACCTTGGCCATCGTATCATATGTCATAGACCAGTGTAAGTATTATTCAAAATAATTTTAATAAATTTAATATAAAAAAGCATATTTAACTAAATATAATTCTATGTGTTTTATGGACAAAGCTACTGTATCTCTTTGATTAGAATATTAAATGTGTTGCGATTTTAATGTGTCCAAGACTTTGAACATCAAAAATTTTTGGACATATAGTTTTGCTTTTTTAAGATAACCAATATTTCCTGATTTTGAAAATTAGCACTTCATTTTCTTTTCAGTATGTTTTATTAATGTAGAATCACAGGACACATGCCATAAAGTCAATAAATATAGTTTAGAATCACCTAAATTATGTATCTTTTTTCCTATGGCCCTTGTGATCACATATCCCAGTAGGTCTCATTTCAGCAGCATGTTGCATTAAAACAGCAGTAACTCAAAAGTTGTGTTTCCAAGACCTGCTAAGTTAGTTTTGTAAAAAAACAAACAAACAAACAAAAAACAAACAAACAAACAAAAAACCTTATTCTTATATGTGTCTGAATTGAATATTTAAAAAATAGAAGTTGCAAATTTGATCTGCAGCCATATAAACTATCTTAACAGGTTGTCCTGGACATACATCTTAGATAGAGGAGACAGTTTAATTGAAAGTGTATATTTATTTTTCATGCATTCATACATAAATATCTCAGCAAGGGCATTCAGTTCTCAGGATTTCAGGAAACACTATGCACATAAAATACCATGCAAATTTTGCAGACTGAGCTGTTCTAACTTCACCCTGTTCCCAAAGGATTTGGCATGACTTTTCTAAGAGTAATATGATTGAGAAAGATATTAAACATGAGTTTTAGCATTCATGCTATAGAAATGTCCTAAGTAACTCTCTCTATTCTCTATCTTTCACTACCCTGAAAAAAGTGATAGTTTCTCTTGAATTACTTTCAGCATCAGGATGGCACGCAGAGTAAACAAACGAATAACTGATGAAGTTGATTTGTGAACTCCTTCTAGCTGAGAAGGACTGATAGACTTTGATGTCCAGTTGGTCTTAACTTCCTATGTGGCACATTAGCCAGCAGGACTTTTTTAATGTAAAATTGGATTTAGGATTTGTTACAAAGGATTGACCTAATAAATGTCTGAGTATAATATAAAAATGTGATTTAACAATGTCCAATAATATTTAAATGTTTCAATAATTATAAAATTTTAGCAACTGAAATTTGAAAGTTTACAAATTATGCCTAGAAATTAATTTAATTCCTTCTGAAATATTTTTCAAACATATCTTCTTTTATATTTTTAAGATACAGAATTCAGGTTTAAAATCTGGACCGCAGGTAAAGAAATTGCCTTCATGCTTAGATAATACAATTGATCTGTGTACCTACTGCCATCTTGTGGTGGTTGAGCCTTAATTATTTATCCTGCATACAAAAAAAAAAAAAAGAAAAAGAATTATGATGAACGAGAAAACTGTCAGAAAAGCAAAGTTTCTAAAAAGTAAACTGAAAAGCTAAATTTACAAACCTATGCTTATATGATGGAATGAGTAACATGGAAGTGTCATTTGGAGATGACAAATAAAATAATTCAAATCTCTCATGAAGTAAACACCCTTGGAAGTACAAAACCAACTTTTTTCACTTTCAAATTTAATACCCCTTATTTTCTTTCTAAAGGTGAAAACCATTAATGAAAAGCTTACAATTGGGAAGATTTCAAAGTACTGGTCAGGATTTGTAAATGATGTCTTCACAAATGCTGACAATTTTGGAATTCATGTTCCTGCAGATCTAGATGTAACAGTCAAAGCAGCCATGATCGGTGCCTGTTTTCTCCTTGTAAGTATAGCCTTCGAGAGCATGAGTGACTTGTTATTCTCCTTCTTGCTTGTTAATTACAATATAGCCTATTCCGTTTACACAGTTTTTACCCCCAAAGAGTATATTTTATTCATAGAAGGATAGCTTAGGACCAATGTTCTTCAAAAATTAGAATTTAGAACCCTGCATTTCTGTTAGGCAGCCCCTCTCCAGTGATCTCATATCCTCTTTCTCAAAAACTGATATGCTATCCCATCCTCTTCATCATTTCCCTAAAAACCGAGTTTCCCCTTGCTTTTATGTTCAATTTAGATTTTTGGCTTATTTTCACTTTAACTAAAATATATGCAAACATAAATATCACATGATTTATCCTGGGTAAAGTTCCAGACTGGTTCATTAAATGATAGTGAACTAGATGATATTAAGGATGTTGCCTTCTCAATATGAACATAGATACATGAAATGATTTGATGAGTTAATAGGTACCAGTTGTCATTATTTCTAAGATATTATGTTCCTGTTATTACTTTCCAACTTACAATTATATTGAAAACCTTTTCTTTTTTGGTGTATGGAGATTGATGATAGAAGAAAAGAAGTCAACTAATAACTGTGTCAAAATGCTTGACCTATATCCTGTTCTTAGTTTTCCCTCTAATATTTATCTAATTTCCTACTGCTTTCAATGCAGCCATAAAACTCAACTTATGGAGTTTTTATTTTTTGATATATAAACACATGTATTTTTTATAAATACATGAAAAATATGTGTATACACAGGCACACACATAAGTGATTAAAACAGTATAAGAGTTGAGAGTAGGTTGCAGACATTATGCCTTTTCCCCTAATTATATTAATGTGCATTTGCTAAAAACAAGGAATTTGTTTACACATCACAGTGCTACTGTCAAAATCAGGCACTAAACACTGATTCAGTGCTATTATCTAATCTGCAGACTTTATTCGGGTTGCACCGATTTCCCATAATGATGTCCTTTCTAACAATAGAAAATCCAAGATCATGAAGTATGTCCATTTTGTCACATCTCATTAGCTTCCTTTCACCTGGAACAGTTCTTAAGAGGTGTGTGTGTGTGTGTGCATGAGCATGTGCACACTCATGTGCATTTTCCTGAGTCTCATGACACTGGCATTTTTGTTTTTGTTTTATTTTTGGAGACAGAGTCTGGCTCTGTCGCCCAGGCTGGAATGCAGTGGCGCAATCTTGGCTCACTGCAACCTTCACCTCCCAGGTTCAAGTGATTCTCCTGCCTCAGCCTCCCGAGTAGCTGGGATTACAGGCATGTGCCACCACAGCCAGTTAATTTTTTTTGTATTTTTAGTACAGACGGGGTTTCACCGTGTTAGCCAGGATGGTCTCGATCTTCTGACCTCGTGATCCGCCCGCCTTGGCCTCCCGAAGTGCTGGGATTACAGGTGTGAGCCACCTCGCCTAGCCGACATTGGCATTTTTTTAAGTGCATAAGCCAATTATTTTGTAAACTGTGGTCTAATTTCAGTTTGTGTCATGTTTAGATTCAGGTTATGCACTGTAGGTAATCAAGAAATTTTTATAAAGTTAAAGTCTTTCTCATATTTTATTGTTTTCTGGGGTTTCAGAATGCTAAATCTGATTATTTACATTAATGCCCTACTTACTGAGTCTTCTAATGATATTTGGAAAATATATGAACTAAAAATTATTCCCGATGACTTCACTGATGGAAACTCAGAATTTATTACAGACGTAGATATACATATGCATATATACATATACATATGCATATATACATATACATGTATGTATATTATGATTATTTCTCCAGGATTTCGGAGGAATTATTTTAACTTACCCGTCTCCTATTATTGGTAGAAGGTGGAAGTAACATCTATAAAGTGCTAGATTTTTAAACTAAGTTGTCACTCTCAACTCCCATTTTCATCTGCAAATCTAACCAGTTCAGTCCATCTTGCCTGTTGCCTAATGTCATCTCTTCCATATTCTCCTCTATCTACTGAACAGTGCTTTTAACTTGTCACCCTTCCTTTGCCTATTTTCCCATCTTTGATCATTCTGACTTCAACACCAACCCGTCCACACACACACACCCTTTCCCCAAGATCTTCATTAGGCCTTTCCAATTAAGCCCCTCACTTAATGTTGATATTTAGAAACCAATCATTTTTAATCTGCCCTACTCATATATTTTACATAACAAGCTGATGGTTAAAATGTACTGCCAAAATTGGAACTACAATTCTCTGTATTTTAAACCTTACCAGTTTTTCTTATTGTTTCAGAACCCTCTAAACATACGTTCTTCTTGAAAAAGCTTGTATTTCTTAGTCCATATGCTTTGAGAGATTGATGAGATGTAGGTTCCATAAAGGTTGATCTAGGTCGTACTCAAAGTGTGGTACAAAGTGTAAGCATCTGCACCACCTAGAAGCTTGCTCAAAGCAAAGAATCTCAGATCCCACCCCAGATGCATCAGGACCTGCACTTGAAAAAGATGCCCAGGTGCTTCCTCTACGCACTATAAATTTAAGAAGCACTGATCTAAATAATACCCTTATCATCTAAAAGGATAACTTTTAAACTCCAGCATTTAAGGGAGGAATATGTTCACTGAGAATAGTTAATGACTCCCATTCATTTCTCTTTATTTCTTTTTACCATCATATTGTAAAATACTTGCCTTTTCTTGCCAGCCAATATAGCTTTTAAAACTATTTCTTACATGTATTACCTAGGTAAATTACTTTGTTCTACATATAATTTTATAGAAAGAATTATGTTGTTATTTTTTAAATGCTGTTTCTATTTTATTCAGGTGAAAGCTTTAGAAAGCTGCTGGTATAAGGGTATTTCCTGATTTAGATACAAATCTAAATTCACAAATGAAATCTAATTTTTGGTCTCTTCTGGTTCCAGGCTACCACTTCACAACCCACCACTCCTCCAACTCACCACTCACTCTTTAAGTTCTCTCTGGTATAGTTTTTAGTACTCCCTCAGCCACCTATTTGCTGACCAAAATATCTGTGATAATAAATCTAATTTTTGTTCAAATATTGATATCCATTATAACTTCCTACACTGACCCAGAATGCCTACTGTCTAATTCTGCAAAGGGTTTATCAACCAAAACTTTGACAATACTATGCAGAGTTACATAAAGTTTCCAAGTTACTTATAATCTGAAAATTCAACATGAAAATAAAATGTCATGAAGCTTAAAACTTTTAAATTTTTATCTCCTGATAAATCATATAATACTGGAACACTTTGACAATACTATGCAGATTCAGATAAGGTTTGCAAGTTACTTATACTCTGAAAATTCAGCATGAAAATAAAATGTTGTAAAGCTTAAACCTTTTAAATTTTTCTTCTTCTGATAAATCATAATACTAGAACACCGTTGGAAATATAATTGCTTTACAGAATCAAAGCTTGCATGTCAAACTTTTGATCTTGTTTTCTTTTTGTAAATTCACTTATATTCAGTTTATTTATTTGCAGGATTTTATGTTCTTTGAACATTCACTGGCTGGATTATAATAACCAAGATAATGAAAACAATAAAATATGCTGAGCATATTTCAGTAAGTAAAAAGCAAGTTTAAATGATCTCTTTCCCTTTGAAGATGTCTATATTTGACGCTATCTAATTCTTTTTCATTTTCTTCTAGAAATCCCTTGGGCTCTGGATTTCATTTCTGAATGATTTGAGTGTTTGCTTTTCTGTAAAAAAAAAAGTTAATTACTATATTTATTAAAACAGTTTAATGAGGCAATTATCTAGTTGTGAATGCATGATAGCTAAATACGTGATTACTGGCCTGAGCGCAAGGTTGCTTTGAGAGATTACCATTCTTTCTTTTTATCCTTTTGAAGTTATTGCAATGGTAAGCATGAAAGATGAGAACTAAGGCTTGCAGCATCACTGATGAAAATTCAATGTTTAGAGAACACTTTGAAGTTTTTCTGGTACTAAGGCTGGTTGCTAATCAAAAGGACTGAGTTTCTAAAACATTTTTTCAAAAGTAGTCCCTTTATACTTTGTATATTAATTTTCTTATTGTAGTGACATATTACTACTTTACACTGGAAAAGTTAAAAGCTGGGTAAATAATACATCTAAAGATGAAGAGGAAGATAGATGGTATCAATTCATTCTAGTGGTAAGAGGCACAGTTACATTCCATAAAGAAACTAGTATTTACAAACCAAAGAATGCTTTATACACCTAGTCATGCCAGAGATTTAAATAAGCATATAAACAGACCTCTAAGTCCCACAGTGTTGTCTAGCAGGAATTTTATCTATTTGCAGAGAAAATTCAGTCAGTTAAGGGATCTAAGTCTCTGAAAAATAGACAACTCAAGGACTTAAAAACAAGCAAAGGAAACCAAATAAATAAAATCTTAATCCATGAGTCAAATGCAGAAGTAAAAGAGTACGGTACATTCAATTAAATTAGTATCTTTCAGCAACAGCTGAGATTTTCACCATGGGGCAAAAATGGGAAAAAGAAAATATCATTTGTAAGTGCTGCATTTTACCATGATAAACTGCTTTGGAGGTTTTTTTTAATATTAAATGAACCCTAAAACTATTGGACAGAGATTCAACACTTACACTTAAGGGAGACTCACTAAAGATTAAAATCCTTCTTAGAATATATCACTCATTTTTAAATTGGCTGCATTTAAATAAAAACCTGATGTAGTGCTTTGATTCCAAGTTGGCATAGTACAATAAACTGAGACCCATCCTGTCTCTCCTTTCTTATTAAAGGTAAAATTTATCTTCTTATCTCTTCTATGCTCTACTTTTCCCTTTTCCACCAAACGTAAGTCCATGAGAGACTAGCAAGACCTTATGATTTTTAGTGAAAAGCATGCAGCTCTAGAACAGGACTGATACTTGTACAACAGTGTTTCCTAGTGCACTACTGCTTCTTGTCCCCAGAACAACCGCAGAACACAGGCTCCAACTCTGTTTACTCCAACTCTGTTTACTGTGTTTACTGGGAAAGACTTGACCAGATTCACACACCTCTCATTCATTCATTCATTTAAATAAATATATATTTACTTGCTCTTACATGCCAAATATCTAGACCCTTCTCTTGTAGTGGCAACAGTTTAGCTGAAGAGATAGCCTTTAATCCAATAATGACAAGAACACATATTACATTTCAGATATGAGAAGTGTTTAATGGAGATGGACAAGATGCTAAGGTATGGCAATTTGACATGGTCAGAGAAGGAGGGAGTGATGCTGGATTTAATTATTACTCAAATCAGTCTCCCTGAAAATTTGAAGGCTAGGGTTTTTCAAGAATCATTTGTCAAGCAAGGGGCTAGGGAATGGGTGCTGCTGATTGGCTGGGGATACAAACATAAGGGGTGTGGAAAATGGTCTTCATGCACTGAGTCCACTTCTGGGTGGAAGCCACAGAGGAATTGCTGGTCTAGGCAGGACCATTTGGTTATTTGAAGTGCAAAAGCCTGAAAAGACATTTCAAAAAGCCAAACTTAGTTTCTATAATAGTAATGGTACTTACAGGAGTAACCGAGAAAGTTGTAAATCTTGTGACCTGCAATATAATGGCTGGTAATCTTTTAATTACACCTGCATCCTAGCAGAATTCAGGCCCCTCTCATCCTTTTAACCTGGTGGCCTTTCATTAGATTTATAGAGGCAGTTTTGTTCTGGGAAGGGCTATTCTCTTTTAAACTACAAACTAAATTTTTCCAAAGTTCTCTGTCTCACAACCAAGAAAATCAAGAATGTGACATGCCAAGGGTGAGGTTAGAACAACAGTTTAATAAGCAAAAGAAAGAGAGAAAGCTCTCTGCCTCAGAGAGGGGTCCCAGAAAAGGGTTGTCATTTTACAGTTGAATACAGAGGCTTTTATAAGAAACCAGTGAAGTCTGGGCATCTAATTTGCATAAAGTGCAAATTTCTGGTAGCTCCACCCTGTCCTCCTAGTGTACATGCAGGCCCTTACCTTGAGTTACTCCATATTGCTTTGTTCCCCTTACTGCACGTGTGTCAGTGGATGGAATTTTCCTTTGCAGACATGTCTGGGCAAGTCAGTCGTGTGGCCTGTCTTATCTATGTAGTGTGGCCATGTCTTAGACAAGCTCTCCTGTGCAAGTTCCCTTATTTATGCTTGCAGGCTGTTTTTTTGTTTGAAAGAACTCAACCAAGGACCCACCCTAACTGACTGCCTGACCAGTTTCTCCCTACCTACTCTCTGTGAGCAAGAAAGGATTTCAGGCCTTTGCCATTTACTGACAGAGGAAATATTAAAAGAGGATCTGGTTTAGGGCAAAGAGCATGGGTTCAGTTTTAGTCATGGAAATTGCAATGCCTTTAAGTCTTTCAAAAAGAGATGTCAAAAAGGAAAGTGGGTATCTTTTCAACTAGAATATTTCTAAAAAGAGAAGTGAGTTTATGAGAACTATATGAACGCATTAAGATCTGAATACTTTCTGGTTTACTTCAAGGATGCTCCTAAAAATGTTTTAAATAATACACAGACAATCTTTTTTTTCATTTTTATTTATTTTATAATTGACCAATAAAAATATAATATTTATCATGTACAACATGATGTATTGAAATATATCTATACATTGTAGAATGGCTAAGTTGAGCTAATTAACATAGGCATTATCTCACTTTTTTTTTGTGCTGAGAACACTTAAAATCTGCTCTTAGCAATTTTCAAGAATACAAAACATTGTATTCTAGAGTCACTCCTGAACTTTTTCTTATTCATTCACTTATTTAGCTAATGTTTTTGAAACCACTTCTATGTACTAGGCTCCATATTAGGCAATGGGGATATTAAACTCAAAGGTACATTGTCCCTGCTTTAAACTCTCTTCAACAAATATTTCTGGAATGCATACACTGTACTAGGCATCAATGCCAGCATTAAGTTATAGCAGTAAACAAAAGCAACAAGGTGCCTGCCTTTGTGGGGCTTACGTAGAATAGAGTTGATGGTAAACCAACAGGTAACAACATGATAAGGTTACCACAGATAATCACAAATATTGACAAGGAATCTACCACTCAATATCTAAAATAAAAAGCTAAACTTATTATGTGTTCAGGCAAGGGAGAACTGGTTTTGCAAGACACAATTTATAAGCAAAGAAGGTAAATTATATAGGGTTTTGGGAAAGTGTGGAGTTTAAATGATGGAGTATTGACTTTAGCTATGTAAATATGTTCACTATACTAATTGCTGACTGGCTGACCCTTAGGAATCTGTTCACTGGACTAAAGTTATTACTGATTATCTGATTTTTCAGAAATTATGTGAAGAAGATGTTTCCGATTATCTTTCAGAAGCGTGTGTACTTTTGTAATCAATCATTGATTGATTAAACAGGTTTAATACCAGTTTTGATTGTTACTCGTTTGATTGTTAATGCAAAGAGTGAACAATCAATTCTTTCCTAGGAGGATGAGAATTTTACACCCTCAAACCCATGAAAAAAAGTAATTCAGGGTAACAAAATAGAAATAGAACTGCTGTTACATTTTAGCATAGACGAGAAAGAAGAAAGCAAGACTTAAGAATATTTAGGAAAAGAGTGTACCAGACAGATATAAAAGCAAATGCAGGGCAGGTGCAGTGGCTCACGCCTGTAATCCCAGCACTTTGGCAGGCCAAGGCGAGTGGCTTGCCTGAGCTCAGGGGTTCTCAACCAGCCTGGGCAACACAGTGAAACTCCATCTCCACTAAAATACGAAAAATTAACTGGGCATGGCAGCGTGCGCCTGTAGTCCCAGCTACTTGGGAGGCTGAGGTAGAACAATTTCTTGAACCTGGGAGGCCGAGATTGCAGTAAGCTGAGATTGCGCCACTGCACTCCAGCCTGGGCAACAGAGCAAGACTCTGTCTCAATAAAAAAAAAAAAAAAAAAGAAAGAAAGAAAAGAAAAGAAAATGCAAATTCAAACGCTCTGAGTCAAGAGCAACTGGGCAAGTGTGAGAAGCACAGGAAGCCGGTATGGAGTACAGTAAACAAGAGAGAGAGAGAAATGAACTGCTGTAGGAAAAGTAGCCAGGGGTTAAATCACATACAGTCTTGCAAGGCAAGGTTAGGAAGAGGAATTGACAAAACTTGGCATTTCGTTAGATATGGAATGTAAAGGATTTTAAGAATTCTAGTATAAAAAATCAGTTCATTCCAATTTTTGTCATTAGAAACTGAAGGTGTGGCTATGACACTCATAAGAACAGGTTCAATTTAGTGTTACAGGTGCTACAATAAAGATAATTTACCACAAAGACACAAAAAAAGGAAACATCCAATATCATTTAAGGTGGAAGGTTAGTACCCCTAGAGAGTAGCTAACAAATAACCCATGAGTTGAATATGTGTCTTCCATGCTAGGTGGGGTCAAAGCTAGGAAGTGTTTGGCTGGGAGAACATTCCAAGCCAAGAGCGCAGCACAAACAAAGGCACAGAAGAGTTAGAAATATAGTAGTCAAAACGAAGAATGAAGAGGATGCATAAGATCAGAATGTGCTTAATGAGGTCAGACTCTCTTAGGCTAGGCCACATCTTCCCACTCAGCTGTGCCCCAGGTATCCTCCAAGTAATGGTGCTAGATCATGATTCAAATAATATTTTCTTCCGAATTTATGTACTTTGTCTGTATTTGGCCAAAGCATCCTCTAGGGGCTTTGGAAATTGTTTAGAAACTGTATTGAAACTCGGAAACTGAATCTGAGCGAATAGACAACTATTAAGGGGGAACAAAACAGTATTTTTCCCAAGCCATAATATCTTGAAGGAAGGAAGATAAAACTTGTTAGATAAATCAGACTTCCCTACAAAAGAAAGGTTTGGATAGATGATCTGAAGAATTCAGGTTATAGCCCCGACAGTTTGCAAACTGAAATTCTAATTCATTTGAGCCTTAATTAGAGGTTTACGGACATATTATTTTTAGATTTGTTATATTTTATTTTCAAAATGAAAACAAACTGAAGAAATAACATAAACATTTACTACTTCATAATTTACTCTCATTCCTGTTGTGTAAGTTTTATATTATTGTTTCTTTAATTGCTAAAATAAGGTGAAATGAAATTATTGTTTATCATATTTTGACTTTTCAAATTAAGCATTTTTTTCTTTCTCTACACTTTTGATTTTTATCATTTCTCCTTACATTGTGTTTTGCTCATCTTAGAAGAAAAAATTCTTTTTAATAAAATTTCTCTAAATAAATGTAAATGGATTTTGTCTATTTCTTATGCTGTGAAACTTTTGCCATTAAAAATAGGTGGGAACTGTACTTAGTGACATGTATTGTGGTTCATTCCAACTGTGTAGGTGTTAAATTTAGGCATCGCTTATTTAAATAATTTGAATTGAATAATTTAAGGAATCTATAATATATCTTAAAAAGAAAAAAATTTTCATTAAAAATCTTTTTAAAGAAAAGGAAAAAACTA